TATATACTCTCACTTGGGACAATCATTGATAGTGTTCAAAAATACTAAGGATTGTTTTATTTGTTAATAGGTGTACCTGTGGTAGCTGCCAAATTATGGATACAATAGCTGAATGTATTTGTTGCCAAGAAATCCAAAAAGTAGTTGCAACATGCCAGTCTGTTGTTGAAGATGGAGATGCTGATGAACCACCACCATGCATTACTCAACATCCTGGATTCTTACCTGTTTGTGSCAATAAGTATGTTCTTCGAACCGCATGGGCTCAGTACAAACAGCAATACAGAGATGCTTATGAAGGCCCAGAGCACAAGCAGTACAGACACATTGCATATAGACAACTAGCAAGATGGTGCTGGAAATTTCATGACGCGCTTGATTTAAATTAAAACCTTGTGCTAATGCGAACATACCGGTTGTGCTTTGTGGTTTGATCGTAACTAGAACTGGAAATTGCTCTTTTACGACGGCGAYGTACGTGTGGGCACTTTTATCTTTTTGGCTAATGATCTTAGGTGGAAGTTAACGATAACACTCTATTAGAAAAATACGCGCTATTTTTTCCGGTCTCTCGGAGCAGCCGCGCCTTGTGGCGAGAATTTCTCGCTGGACTTCATAAAAATAAAAAAGAAGGCGGGTTGTACAAGGAAGAAAGAATTTGAAAATCGTCGTGGTTTTTTGGTGATCTTATTTGACACGGATATTTATTCTCGAGTCGACAAAAAAATGCATATTTTTTTCCAACTAACTTTGCTTTCTGTAAGTAAGCTAATAGTATACGCGACAAATATTCAATCCTCAGGGCCATCACTTCGTGTTGAAAAAAAAGAGAGCATTTTTTAAGGCAGTCAACTAATTATGTCACTTTTCGTGACCACTCCACGTTCGAGATCCAAGATGTTCACAGTTCTCAATAGTTGTTATCGACCTTTATCAGGACATCATCATCTTAAGTTACGCTTAATTGAAAACATTGTAAAAAGATAGCTCTTGCTATTGCCAAGAGCATCAACACAACCTACAGCCCTTTTTAAACATTTTTTGAACTGAACAAGCCAATTAGGATTGTCAAAAACAAAACAACAYCTAAGTACAGTTGATATCGTTTAACGACGAGATAAGTTCTTCTTTGCTTCACCCTCAGGGCTTGGTCAAAGCGATAAGCTGTGAGTGATTCGTGAATTGTTCAAAGCCATCACACAGAGTGATGGTATGTAACGAGCATCTGTGAGATCGCTCACAATTCAATCAAGGTTTGATTAYTCTGGCTGGGATTTTTTGCACTAACGTCACACCCCCTTCTGAGAAYGAACTCCGTGTTTTGTCTGCTTTCTTGTGCGTTCGCTTTGAGACTGGTTGTTTTCTCAGTTGGGTCAACGTAAAATATTAGYCTAGCTGTGGTTCTAAACCCTGAAAATAACTCCAGTGCATTTCGTGTTGCCTTTAAGGCGCCCTTTCCYGCTGTGTTGTATCAATCTATTTGATTCCTTGTAATTGGTCCTGCTACTGTGTCTGTTATCAAGCGATTGGAATGGATGAATTCGCATTAGGAGTCGTGTATATYGTAGGATTGTTTTAATCCTATAACAGATTTGCGATTTATTCATAGAGYGTGGGCGAGCACCCATGCTGCACAAAGATGCTTGGAAAATCCGAAAAATCTTGGTGTAACAAACAAAAAAAAGATAAACAATTTAGAAAAAGACAGGAGAAGTTCTATCGTAATGCGAACGGAATAAAGACATGTTGGCACGTAGTCACTAGATAATCTACTTATCACATAATTTTTCGATTAATTTCGTACACTTTTTCTCCGGGACATTTTTTTACAGCAATGAACTTATGATTTATTCCAGACATTTGTAATCGGCAGCAAAATAAGATAAGAATTAAAACGACGTTCATCTGTATTTTATTTAGTAACTAGTTCTTTTTCCTTCTGCATTTAGAGATAACTTTGTAGCACAGACATTAACTATTAAGTTTCTGTAATCGAAAAACATTATCAAACAATTTCCGAAATGGCTCACTTATCTAGGTTGACATTCTTGATTATTGCTGATGAACTTGATTAGGAATTGTTTGATAATCTGAGCCAGGCAAAAGACGTCGCAATGATTTTGCTCCGGGTTGATTTTCTTCAAGATCGTTTTACAAATTTGAGGACGAATCATTATCAAGTTTGTCAAATTAATTTTTTATTTATTTATTTATTTATTTTTTTGCTGGAGCTGTGCAAATCTTTGTTCAGACCTTAGCAAGCACTACCGAATCGAAGATTTGATTCTACAACATTCTAAATGCTTTATAATAGGAGGTTTGCTATTGAATCGTACCGAGTATCATTTGGCCGTCATTGCAAATTTTTTCCATTTAGTCGTTTGCAAATAAAATCGGCCTTTTTTTTATCAAGGTTGCCTTATTTAACTAATAAACTGACTGCAAGTCATTGAAGACACTAAATATTAATATGAAGTGTAGCGAGCAGCGATGAAAGRCTGCATTGTTGATTGTGGACAATCTATTCGCACATAAACGCGAAATGTCGGGAATTTTTTGGTCATATTGATCCAAATAATGCTCAAGAAAGAAATGACACGTTTGTCAGTGCCTTAGTTCAAAGCTTTCCAGCACTGGAAGATAAGTTGACCTCCCCAGGAATTGGTCACTGCCTTTTCTCATGATCAAGTCTAATCAAGTTGAGACTTCTTTCATTTAGCTCGTAAAAATCAATCAATACGACCATCCAACGACTAAGCTGAACGGTTAATTGATGCTCAAGATGTTGACATAACTTGAGATCTGTGCAAACCTTGAACACAACACCATTGGAATTGAAAACAGCCACTAGCGGATTTAGAAACGCTACTGGAYAAGACTCAACAAACATGGAGACAAGGGGTTTCCGGTGAACGTAACAAATGACTCAGAACCCAGGTTTAAAATTGAAAACATATTTGAAAACATATTTGAAAGCATTCCAAAATCTCACGAAATACTGGTATGTTTGTATAGTTGGGGTAAGACGACCTTCTTCGGAGCTTGAATTGGTAGTTTGAAGAATAAAATTGTTGTCAAGGTTTTACGAACACGACGCAATACTACACTTTTGTTATTGCGAGTTTTATATTTTAATACCTTTAATAAAAGTTTCAATGAAAAATTCTTCTGCGAAAAAAAAAATTCWTTCCCTTTGTCTGAGAGTTTAGTAAAGTACTAGTGTGCAATTGAGATTGTAATGATATTTTTATAATAGAGCTATTTTTAGGGTTTGACTATCCAAATTATGCCCAATTTGTAACTAAAGATGAAGGCATCCAAAAGAAAACTTGCCACGAGCAAGCTTCCACAAAGTGAGACAGATTAATTAGCCATTTACGGATTTGCAGCAAAGTCTTGGCCATTCTTAAAGAGTTACAATCGATCCTTTAGCATTTGTCATCTGGGTGAGGTTAACTTTTAAATGCTTGCCTTTTTGCTTTGCTCAGTCTCACATGTGTTTTGTCTATCAGAGCATCGAGAATGAAAGGCATCTCTTTAGAGAAAAGTYAAAATAGAACTTTGTAGAGCTTAGGTCAACTTGGCATCAAAAGCAACGCAATATGTTTTCAATAATCGCCAAGGATTTTTTCAAAATTTTCAGTCTAACAAGAATAGAACAACTGTGGTTTGAATATCTTCTATGGCAATTTTATGGAGTCCCGTAGCGGAAGCTGCATAATTTCTTGCCATGTTGCAAAGACGAGAGTTGTTCAGTGTGAAATTGGTTCTGTTTAAAGAGGGACCCATGTGCGATTGATCAAAAGGTTGTTGGCCTTCCTGTCAACCGTAAAGGACCCAAAACGTGATATTATAGACTCACCTGGCGACCTGCCTGGTTGTTATGCAGATTCATCATTGCTCGTTCCCTGCTTATGGAACGCGCTCGACGATCATTTTTATCAGGAGCATCGACGAAGGTCTGTGACAGCCATATGGCATACTTTACATTATCGCGACACCCTGCTTCTTTCCAGCCGCGTGCAGGAGAGTTCTTCTTTTTTATGGAGTTACAAGTACACTCTGTGAGGTTTCCTCGGCTACAAGACTTGCTGACTGCGTGGACGACCCCAGCGGATGTTATCGCGTGCACGAACGCTGTCTCTTTGCTCCCTAATGAATAAAAAATTAATCAAAACGATCTAAATAAACGCAATCTAAAGTGAAGAGTAGTGAAAGCAAGAATCGAGAGATTTCCGGCTATAGATATCACCTACCTATATCAAGCAAACGTCCAAATACCGTTGCATCATTTGATGTTGAACAGTTCCATCGTTCATGATTAAACTGTTGCTTGCATTCTTCAATGGCAATCTTGGCACCTTCGCTTACACTCGGAATCACGTCAGGTTTCAAGATACACATCTTACGTTGCYGTGACGAAAGTCCTGGCACACGACTACAACTTGAAACTACAGAAGAGCTCTTGGTCCCGAGAGAAGCGACCCCCATCCACCTAGTCAAGAAAAACATTGAGAATGTATTTGGTACAAATGATAGTACAATTCAAGAGAACTCTTATCGCATTAGTGCAGGATGGCTAGAATAGATGTCAAAGTAGTTGAGAGCTGATTTGTTCTACTTACAGCCAGGACGTATCGACTTGCCCCATAAGGAGGAACAACAACGCGAAGATCAAGGACAGCCTCTTCATTATACTTCTAGTTCAAAGCGCYCGAAATTTGTTAAACGTAGAAAAAAAACTGATACTTAACGTAAACAGTCTCTCTACACGTGATAGCGATAGCCGAAGCTTGACGAGTGACTGCCTGCCTTTTATTACAAGTAGCTGGTGAACGAAAGGTCTTCACTTGTGACAAATCAACACTCTTTTGACACCACAAGGGTTTGGTTGCCTCTATGTTATCGTACCCTTGGTGACGTATTCAACACTGGATCGAACACCCCACTTGTATTGATTTCAGAGCTGATAAGACGACCTAGTTTAGAATCCTGTGGCTTAGGGCTTYAAATGGCGTTTAGTATTTTGACATATTGAACGTCAGGACTATCGGAGCCGACGGTGTTCATCCCTTGTTTGAGGCGTTTAAAGTGGTTGTACAGTTAGTGAGGGATTCTTTAGAGTACCACTTAATGGTATTCGTCCGGTATGCGTGATTGTTTATTAAGCGCTGAAGGAGGGCGGGACAATTCGGTGATTAGCTTTCGATTGATCAATCAAGAATGGTCGTCTTGTCACAGCACTACCCCAGCTGAACGACGGAAGAAAATATCCAACACAACGAGAATTAATATCATTCCATTTACTCAAAGGAAATAGCCAAGATATTTACGCAATCGAATCAAAACAGCGAGAACTTTAGTCACTTAACTTAGGAATCGTGCCTCGGGCGTCTTGATCTTTACACAGACAATTTTCCAATTTAAGGCAATGATGAGGGTTAAGAATACACTAGACATTTTTCTAGCGATTCAGAAAAAATATATATTCAAAGACAAGTAAAATGTAGGCTCAAAGAGCTGGCGCGTTTGGATAATAATCTGAAAAACAGGAACTCGCGAAAGCTGAATCAACATTTATCCTCCTAAGTGTAAAAGAATGATTGCGTTTTCGGCCGGCGGAGTTTATYGATTTGTCGTTCGATAAATTGTGGTTTTTCGGCCCGCAAACGTTTCACCGGCGAAAACGACGCGGCGTTAGTGTTGACATGAARTGTTCAAGTCAAGAGCTGCATTAAGGGATTAGTCGCATTATATTTAGTAGATGATGATCAAATTATGATATGCATTTTGTTGACTTTGGTGTTTGTTTTTCGTACCATGAAGCCAAATACCATCTCGAATGGTCACCGACATCAAACAATGATATAGCAATATTGGCACTCGATTGGCGTGCTGATTAAAATGTATGGAAAATCTTTAAAATGCTCAACGAAATGGGCCTTTGGTAAAGCCCAACTTGCAAGTACAATTGTCCATTAGGGCAATTGGACCGGATATATATGGTGTCTGTGAACATGAATGCTACTTTATTCGAAAGATGTTGGAAATGATTTGGCAAATACCTTCCGACACGCCTTGACAAAGCAGTCATTACCACCCACGTCTTCGATCAGTCATAAAACGAGGAGATTATTATAAACCATTATGGATAAGCAGTAAGTTCCAGGTTAATTGCTTGACGAAGTGAGTAATCTATGGAAATGTATGATTACAAATTTCGTGAAATTTGGACGAACTTGTCCTGTCATGAAGTGGTCCGTCATTAACTGACCCACTGAGTTCCCTAATCAATCAGTTATCCATGTAATTGTTTATCAACACCAGCTTTCCTAAGATCAGAGACATCATTGAGTCACTAATTTTTGCCTTCATTCAGTGATAAGCAACACGAAATCTCACGAGTCTAGTCTAGATTTTGGTCAGTTTACTTGCCAAAATAAAGTTAACCAAAATAAAATCATGGTATTACTACATGGCCCTGTTATGAAGTATATATATACATATATCGCTTGTAATTTGTAAATGCAGTCATGATAACGTGTTTAGAATTATTTTGCAGACCGACACTGAAATTAAGCCCATGAAAAACAACAAATAAATATTAAGTTTTTTTTTATTGAGGTAATAGACCGCTGGCTAGTTCAAGTGGTAGTTATAAATACTCTTATCCTCAGTTCATACATCGTTCCTTGGCTGTTCTGACTGACCTCAAGTACGAATGACAGTGTTCAGTGATGGAATTTGACTGTTTTTCGCGGCTCAGTAACAAAGACTAGGGAGATATACTGGGACCATCTTCTAGGGTCATTATCGCTTATCATTAAGGTGGTTCAGTGATACAAATTCGACCCTCTTATCACTCCTGCATGGTGATAAGAACTATTTCATTATTTAAAACACTGAACCGAGTCAGTGTTACAGACAGATAAAATCTGATCTCTTCAGTATTGTTTCTAGTTAAACTTTGTTATATTGATTTATGTGTAAATTCCTTTCCTAAGAAGATTTATAGTAGCTGTTGTCACATCACGGAGCTCCTTCAAGTTGCGCACTTTCTTCATAAAAAAGGACCACATTCAATGKATTATCCTTGCAATTATCTCAGTATAAAAGTAGACTGGCTGTCTTAAAACTATCTGATAAAACCCAACTATATTCTTTGCCATAACTGATTCAAATAATGACGTCCCCGAG